AATCAAGCACTTCACGACGGGACCCCTTCCGATAATCAAACCAAGTCGGCTTCCTAGCTCCAAAAGAATTCGAAGCACACATACGCTCCTGAACCAACCAATCCTCCACCTCCTGTCGCAAGCTCTCCACCTTCTCCTTCCTCTCCCGCTCCTTGGTCCCCGTGGCCTGGATCTGCACTACCTCCAAGCCTCCTCCCGAATAAACCTCCTCCTCATGCTGTAAGTGTGGCTGTATCTCAACATTCGCATCCATGGCAACAACAAGACGACAGAAACCATAACGACGGCATACGTACTTTCTGAGCAAGCTTACCGCCTGGAGTGCACAATGTGATATCTCCAGAAACTCGGGCTGGCTGGCATCAGGCAAGTACAATGAGACAAAGAGAATCCGTCCAGCAAGGATCGCGCACCACCTCTCTGAGGCCCACTGGCCTCGAACGCTATCGGCCCTCCGATAGAGTATCATAGCACGGCGATCCTCCGAAACGTGGTAATACAGTCCCATTTTGACAAACCATTGCGCCTTAACGTCGATGTTCTGAGACTCCTGTACCCCCAGGAAATCCCAGCCTAGGTGTGCTCCGTAGACTACCCTCGACAGAACACTATAAGCCTTGTCATCCTTCCTCCCAGCACGTTGAAGGTTGAGCGTGGCGAAGCGGACTTCCGTCGGCTCCGCCCGTAGGCGTCACTGAGAAGCAGACCTGGAATCCGTGACTAACTCCTCGAGCTCTGCCGCCGTCATGGTGATGCCGTGTCTCTGGGCGAAAGATGTCCAAGATGCTGGAATAACTCGCCACTGCCCAGATCCTCCGAAGCTAGCCGCCTGATACTCGGCCAGCAAGCTCCGCTTCCCCTCCACGGGGTCAGAGTACATCGTGGACGGTGACCTCCCGTACCCAGTCGATCCTTTGAGAAAGATGGTGGGGTGCGTCCTGCTCCAGACACCATAAAATCGGCCAACCGCTTGATTGTGTGGAATCTTCTCGTCGGGGACCTCTGCACGAACTCTCAAACGAGACATCTTCGACTTCACCTTGGTGTAAAAGGCGTGGTTAAGAGCTGCGTCATCATTTATACGTGTGAGAGCGCGTTGTACAGCATAAACCACATCACTCCCTGTCCCAACCTTAAATCTAATCTTGATATTCCCCGTCATCGGTTTCGATCTGGCAAGTTTCTCAGAGCTGACCACATCCACTTGACCGTGCAACTGCTCATTGTCCGCTTTCAAAAGACCCAGGGTATTCTGGAGTAGGGTGCAGGCGTCCGTATCGTCTATCATCGTAAGTTCCCTACTCGTGCGATTCGACCAGTCCTGGACCCATCCGTACAGCTCTACATATGTAGGAGTAAATTTTGCCGTCGATGTTCGTCCTGCAAATCTAGGGGCTGCTATCGTAGAGTTAGAAGATCCAATCGAAGCATTGTCCTGGCTAGCCAGAGTCTCCAAGTTCTTAAGCCTAATCTCCTGTTCCTGTTGTTTCTTCTCAATGGCCGTGAGTTTCGCTGTTTGAACCCCGAGACGTTGATCCATACCGCTGATGCGCACGTCAGTGGCCACCGAGGCGGCCTTCGACTCGTCATGATTCTGAAAGGACATCTGCATGAACAATCGCAAACTCTCATCTTTTTGAAGGCTCAGAATTTTCTCTCTCATGGCCTTCTGATCAAGAAGATCACCTCCCGTCTTGTCCACCTTCTCCTCCTCCTCCATATCCGTCTTCATCCTCTTGCTACCCTGACCGTCAACCTCCATTTCTTCTGGAAAGAACGGACGAAACGACCCTTCTTGAACTTACAGAAGCACCAAGAGCGACGCGAGTAGTGTCGATAAGGTCGGGAACGACGAAATATGCAACACTCTAAGCGACAATAATCCTCCCAGTAAAAGTCTTCCAGATCTGCAAAGAATCGATCCCAAACACAGCTGGGCTCTCCGAGAGGATATAAGGCGTTCCACCCTCCTGCTGGCTCTCCGAAGCTGTTCGTGACTGCACAGAAAGATACAACAATACTCAAACTCGCACTCGTAGAATGGATAATGGACCAGAGCAAAAATGGAAGAAGGCACGCTCCCAAGAACAAAAGCAGATGCAGACGTATGCGTGCTCCACTCGTACCAGCAGGGCGTTGCCTCCCAGTAACCAGTTCAATCAGGAGCCTGATGCCGGCAGAGGGGCCGCAGGCTGTCCAAGATGTGCGAAACTGTGTACAGTATGTGGAACCCAACTCCCTACTGCACAATGCAGCTCGAGACGAGGGGACCCCAGCGGTGAGGCCAAGGCTGAGCAGGAGGTGAGCTCTGCTCAACCTTTGTTACCGCCGGAGGACTCGTAGAGCTTCCTGACAACATGTAATGTCGAAAAAATTACACTGAAAAAATTGTTCTGCCCAAACAATATCAGACCTCTCGGATGCAACAGCCGAACGCCCCCGATGCTTCTGGATTGTCTTCTGTACGAGCTCTGTAGCTCTCCTACAGCCCGAGTTACGTGCGTAAATCGACAGCACCTCTCAAGATGATTCGAACAATACGAATAGTTTGGCAAACCTAGCTCGAGTATCAGACAGACGAGTTCAGACCTCTGCATACGCGTCTGATGTCTCTGAATCGATTCCTGTGATTACCAGCCCTGCAGCCCCCCCTACAGCCCGAGCTAAGTGCAGGAAACCCACAGCACCTCTCAGGATGACTCGAACAATACGAATAGTTTCGCGGACCAGGGTTCGGGCAGCAGACAGAGTCCGGAGCTCTGGATTCGACAGGCGGACGCGCCTGATGTCTCCGAATCGATTCCAGTGATTACCAGCCATGCAGCCCCCCTACAGCCCGAGTTAAGTGCAGAGAACCGACAACATCTCTCAAGATGACTCGAACAATACGAATAGTTTCGCGATTCTAGATCGGGCAGCAGACCGAGTTCAGAGCTCTGGATTCAACAGACAACGGCCACTGATATTCTGAATCAGATTCTGTACGTATCAGCTCTGTAGCTGTCCTGTAGCTCGATTTAAGTACAGAAAACCGAGAGCGTCTGTCAAGATGACTCGAATAATACGAATAGGTTTGCGGACCTAGCTCGGCTAGCAGACCGAGTTCAGACCTCTGGGTTCAACAGGCGAACGCGCCTGATCATTTGAATCGATTAGCTGTGCTTACCAGCTCTGTAGCTGTCCTGAAGCTCGAGTTATCTTGAGAAAACCGACAGCGCGTGACAAGATGACTCGAAAGGGCCGATCCCACCAGTGTGCTTTTTGGCAGTAAAAGGTACCCGATCGAGCTGAGATCAAGATGGCGAGCGGGAATAAGATCGAATATCACGGGAAAAAATACTAGAGCTCAAACGAATTGAGGAATTTCGAGAACAAAATTTTCAACCGACCAAAAGTCACCAAAAGGTCCGTCGATATTTTTCTTGCCAACTAGCTCTCCAGCGCCCCGGAATTACTCTTAAGCTTCCAGCAATAGCTTGCTAAGGGAAGCTCTACGAGCTACTAGCTCCACCCCGCGCCGGAATTCCTCTAGCTCATCGACGCCGAAGAGCTCTACGAGGTATAACTTGCCAAGGGAAGCTCTACGAGTTACTCGTAAGCTTCCAGCAACAACTTGCGAAGGGAAGCTCTACGAGTTACTCGTAAGCTTCCAGCAATGACTTGCTAAGGGAAGCTCTACGAGTTACTTGGTAGCGAAAACCGGAGAGCAAAAAGACCCCAGGGACGGGACCTCTTTCCTGGGGAGGTCTGGGGGGCTTCCCTGCAGCGCTGCGCAAGCGCTGCCAGGAACGCTTCCACGCGTGCCTGCACGCGTGCAGGCACGCGTGGGCGCTTGCCGGAAGCGCTCCCGGACCCGCTGCGACCTCAAACAAACTGCTGCGAGGATTCTGGAGCGGCGAAGATGGGCTGCTGGCGGGCACCACCACTGGGCGCCGGCGGCAAGCCGTCAACCTTTGTTTTTGCGTCTTTGCTGGGACCATCTTGGCCCTGAGGCCAGGTCCAACAAAGTATCAGGCGAATCGCAGTCTCTTAAAGAAGTTCGGCACAGCCTGTGGGAGCACATCACATAGAAGACTCCAAAGTGTTCACCCTCGAGCAGTTGCGAAACTGATGAGGCGGAACTGAAATTAAAACCTACAACAGTGAGAACACTGAAGAGGCAAGACTAAGACTACGACAAGAGAGCCAGGAGACCTGGCCAAGGACTGAACATGCACACACTGAATTGTTAGAGCTCAATGAGAGATAAAGTGAGGAAAACAAGAACAAATGAGATACAAGCATTACAGCCTTCGCTGCACTGAATAAAGATGCACTGAATGACCACACGAGGCAATCTCAACAACAAACAAAAAGACCACGCGAGGCGATCTCAATCATTAATGCATGACCACACGAGGCAATCACAATCTGAAAGACTATGCACTGAATAAGGATGCACAGAATGAATTATTAGAGCACAAACAAAAGAGACTATGCAATCACAATCAACAAACCAATACAATAAGATCGGAATGAAAGGAAGCACACGAAGAATACGAATAACTACCACAGAGCCCAAACCTGAGATTTACACCTTCGTTCAAAGTCCGTCAACGTCCTACCGAACCTACACACTTCGTCAAACACGATGTTGGCGCCTTTAGAGCTCTTGGCAGGCTTGGCGCTGCTATGATATCGTTGGCCTTTGCCTCTGCCTTTGCGGTGCCCTCGTACATCCCCTTTTCCATCAGAACGCTTGGAATCCGGAGGAACAGCTTGGAACTCCTCCTCCGACTGACGCACTGTCTTGGAGACGTCCATCCGGACACGGACAAACGCATCAGAACCAGGATTCGATATCTCATTGAGCGTGACGGGACGATTCAGACACCCCTGGGACGCTCCTGACAAGGCGTGGCTATCAGGATCAGCCTGCACGTTCGGTGAAAACTCCGCTCTCGAGGGTGCCTCCAGCTCCTCCTGCACCATTTTATCTGGCACCCTAACCTCAGATCGAGTCACTCGCGCGCAAGTTGTTGCACTACCAGCTGAAGAGACTCGCATTCCAACCTCCGCATCTTGTTCTGCTGAAGAAACTTGCAATCCAACATCTGCTGAAGAAACTTGCATTCCAACGTCTGTTGAAGCACTCCCAGAAACGTGCATTCCAACATCTGCTGACGAAACATGCATGCCAACATCTTGTTCTGCTGAAGAAACTTGCAATCCAACATCTGCTGAGGAAACTTGCATTCCAACGCCTGTTGAAGCACTCCCAGAAACGCGCATTTCAACCTCTGCTGAAGAAACACGCATGCCAACAACTTGTTCTGCTGAAGAAACTTGCAATCCCACACTTGCTGAAGAAACTTGCATTCCAACACCTGTTGAAGCACTCCCAGAAACGTGCCTTCCAACATCTGCTGAAGAAACATGCATGCCAACATCTGCTGAAGAAACTTGCGTTCCCACGTCTGCTGAAGAAACTTGCATCGCAACATCTGCTGAAGCACTCCCAGAAACTTGCATTCCAACATCTGCTGAAGAAACCTGCATGCCAACATCTGCAGTAGGAACGTGCACTCCAACAGCTGCCGAAGAAACTGGCGCCCCAACATTTTGCCGAGGGGAAGACTTTGCCAAGCTTGCATAGGGATCTTCCGTCCTGGAACCACTCATTTCATGTTCCTCCTTTCCACAAATGGCATCAAAAAGATAAATCGCACTCCCTGCAGAGAAGCCCGAATGCGCGAGACCACATGAAGCAGATGCCGCCTCCTCCCCCTCCTCCACATCGTCAAAAACAGCAGCTGAGCTACCCTCGGAAGTAGAACCGAGATATCGAAAATATCGGGGAGCACATATCTTCTGCACACAAACGCCCTGCCGCAACTCTGATCCATATTTAATATACCTCGGAGCCACAACTCTGAATTCCAATGCGCCAAACAATGAGATCACGCGCGGCGTCTCTCTGGCTCGCTCCAATTCGGCGACTCTCTTTTGGAGCGTCCTCACTGTTGAGCAAAGCCAATTGACAACTTCTGAAGAAACGACCATATGAGAACAAAGAGATACACAAATCCGACAAATTCGAACGAGCCTCTGTCGCACGACGTTGTGTCAACAACAATCCAGCACACAAGAAACAGCCACAAAATCAATAAGAAGAATAACTCGTACAATGCACAGAGAGGTAATATATGCAGACAGACAATAGACAGCAGTGCAGCACACAAGAAACTATCTCAATACCACGAAGAAGAATTCAGCGTACAATACACGAGGTGCAATGTAAGCAGAGAAAAACCTCGGGGGAACCCAGGCACGCCCAGGCTCACACCCCGAGGCGAAGGCTCGCTAGAACGTCTGGAGGTTACCCAGGCAGAGACGTTCTTGAGCCGAGACGTTCTTGAGCCGGGGGACTCGTAGAGCTTCCTGACCATATATAATAACTCGTAGAGCTTCCCTTAGAAAGTTATTGCTGGAAGCTTAAGAGTAATTCCGGGGCGCTGGAGAGCTAGTTGGCAAGAAAAAGCTCGACGGAACTTTTGCTGACTTTTGGTCGGTTGAAAATTTTGTTCTCGGAATTCAACCATTCGTTAGAGCTCTAGTATGTTTTCCCGTGATATTCGATATTATTCCCGCTCGCCATCTTGATCTCAGCTCGATCGGGTACCTTTTACTGCCAAAAAGCACACGGGCGGGATCGGCCGTTCCGAGTCATCTTGTCACGCGGTGACAGTTTTCTCAAGATAACTCGAGCTTCAGGACAGCTACAGAACTGGTAAGCACAGCTCATCGATTCAGAATGATCAGGCGCGTTCGCCTGTTGAACCCAGAGGTCTGAACTCGGTCTGCTAGCCGAGCTAGGTCCGCAAACTTATTCGTATTATTCGAGTCATCTTGACAGACGCTCTCGGTTTTCTGTACTTAACTCGAGCTACAGGACAGCTAAAGAGCTGATACGTACAGAATCTGATTCAGAATTATGAGTGGCCGTTGTCTGTTGAATCCAGAGATCTGAACTCGGTCTGCTGCCGATCTAGAATCGCGAAACTGTTCGTATTTTTCGAGTCGTCTTGAGAGACGCCGTCGGTTCTCTGCACTTAACTCGGGCTGTAGGGGGGCTGCATGGCTGGTAATCACTGAAATCGATTCGGAGACATCAGGCGCGTCCGCCTTTCGAATCCAGAGCTCCGAACTCTGTCTGTTGTCCGAACTAGGTCCGCGAAACTACTCGTATTGTTCGAGTCATCCTGAGAGGTGCTGTCGGTTTCCTGCACTTAACTCGGGCTATAGGGGGGCTGCAGGGCTGGGAATCACAGGAATCGATTCAGGCACATCAGACGCGTCTGCCTGTCGCATGCAGAGGTCTGAACTCGGTCTGATACTCGAGCTAGGTTTCCCAAACTATTCGTATTGTTCGAGTCATCTTGAGAGGTGCACGCACGTAACTCGGGCTGTAGGAGAGCTACAGAGCTCGTACAGAAGACAATCCAGAAGCATTGGCGGCGCTCGGCTGTTGCATCCGAGAGGTCTGAAATTGCTTGGGATGAAAACTATTTTTTCTGTCTAATTTTTCTCGACATTATATGTTGTCAGGAAGCTCTACGAGTCCCCCAGCGGTAACAAAAGGTTAACCGTTTACCGCCGTCGCCCAGTGACGAAAAGGAATGCAAAGAACGAATACGTTTTGAGCCCAAGCCATTCCTCATCTCTCGATGCAGACGTGTCGATGCAACAGCCGAACGCCCATCATGCTTCTGGATCGTAACTCGTAGAGCTCCCCTAGTTGCTGGAAGCTTAAAAGTAATTCCGGCGCGCTGGAGAGCTAGTTGGCAAGAAAAATAGCGACCGACCTTTGCTGACTTTTGCTCTCTGAGAGCTAGAGAATTTTAGACTGAGAGCCGGCGGCAAACCGTCAGCCAGGTTACCGCCGGGAGCCTCGCAGAGCTCTTGTCTACACGACGCTGCTTGGAACACGTGGCGGAAGCTTTCTTACGCGTGAGCTGAAGAGCTTTAAAAATTACGTTTTTGAACCGAAAGTGGGTTGATTCAAGTGGGGAACCCACAGCATCTCTCAGATCACTTCTATAATAAGAATAGCTTCGCGGATCTAGCTCGAGTAGCAGACCGAGTTCAGACCTCTCGATAACAGACGAACGCGCCTGATGAGTCTGAATCGGTTTCTGTACGTGGCAGCTCTGTACCTCTGAAATCTTAAATACAGAAAACCGTCAAAGCGTGTCAAGATGCTCGAAACGGCCGAGCCGACGGTTCCCTCCAGTCTTTTCATTGTGATATTGCAGCTACAAACCTGAGAATTTAACTGGCAGACGCGGCATAACCCACCACAGGTGGGAAAAATACCTGTTCCTAAAACGAGCTAGGCGCCGGCGGTGAACCGTCAATCTTGGTTACCGCCGGGAGACTCGTAGAGCTTTCTAGCTCGACTTAAGTTGAGAAAACCGATAGCACCTACCAACATTCCGACTGAATATTTTTTTACCTCTGGGCACCTCGTAGAGCTCTTTTGTTGCACAGCCCTTCTCGGAACACATGAGCGATCTCTGAAGCAAGAGCAGAAAACATTCAAAAAACACGATTTTTTGGTTTTTATCCAAAGCCGGTTCCCTCAAGTCTTTTGATAGTAGTACTGCAGCTACGGACCTGAGAATTTAACTGGCAGACGCGGGATCACTCACTACAGATGGCAAAAATACCAGTTCTCAAAACGAACTTTCACATTTTGCAAAAAATTGAAAAACCGACCCCAAATTATCACACTGGGCGCCGGCGGTAAACCGTCAACCTTGGTTACCGCCGGGAGACTCGTAGAGCTTCCTAGCTCGACTTAAGTTGAGAAAACCGACAGCACCTACCAACATTCGAACTCATAGTGAATATTTTTTGACCTCTGAATGCGACAGCCGCACGCGTCTGATGTCTGCGAATCGACTCCTGTCATTACCAGCCCTGCAGCCCCCTACAGCCCGAGTTTAGTGCAGAAAACCGACAGCACTTATCAGGATGACTCGAACAATACAGTAGTTTTGCAGACCTAATTCGGGCAGCAGACCGAGTTCCGAGCTCTCGATTCGACAGGCGGACGCGCCTGATGTCTTTCAATCGATTTCTGTGACCACCAGCACCCTCAGCGCGAGTTGAGTGAAGAAAACCGAGAGCACTTCTCAAGATGACTCGACCAATACGAATACTATCGCGATTCTAGATCTGGCAGCAGACCGAGTTCAGAGTTTTGGATTCGACAGACAGACGCAACTGCTCATTCTGAATCGATTTCCGTAAATATCAGCTCTGTAGCTGTCCTACAGCTCGAGTTAAGTACAGAAAACCGAGAGTTTCTGTCAAGATGACTCGAATACTACGAATAGGTTTGCGGACCTAGCTCGGCTGACAGACCGAGTTCAGACCTCTGGATTCAACAGGCGAACGCGCCTAATCATTCTACATCGATTAGCTGTGCTCACCAGCTCTGTAGCTGTCCTGAAGCTCGAGTTCTGTTCAGAAGACCGTCAGCGCGTATCAAGATGACTCGAAACGGCCGATCCCGCCACAGTGCTTTTCGATAGTAATATTCACCCGATCGAGCTGAGATCAAGATGGCGAGCGGGAATAAGATCGAATATGAGGGGAAAAAATATTAGAGCTCTAACGAATTGTTGAATTTCGAGAACCAAGTTTTCAACCGACCAAAAGTCACCAAAAGTTCCGTCGAGATTTTTCGAGCCAACTAGCTCTGCAGCGCGCCGGAACTGGGCGCCGGCGGTAAACCGTCAACCTTACTTACCGCCGGGAGACTCGTAGAGCTTCCTAGCTCGACTTAAGTTAAGAACACCGACAGCGCCTACCAACATTCCGACTCATAGTGAATATGTCTCGACCTCTGAATGCGACAGGCGGACGCGTTTGATGTCTGCGAATTGACTCCTGTCATTACCAGCCCTGCAGCCCCCCTATAGCCCGAGTTAAGGGCAGAAAACCGACAGCACCTCTCAGGATGACTCGAACAATACAGTAGTTTACCTAATTCTGGCAGCAGACCGAGTTCCCAGCTCTGGGTTCGACAGGCGGACGCGCCTTATGTCTCTAAATCGATTCCTCCGACAACCAGCACTGTAACCCCCCCCCCCAGCCCGAGTTGAGTGAAGAAAACCGAGAGCACTTCTCAAGATGACTCGACCAATACGAATACTATCGCAATTCTAGATCGGGCAGCAGACCGAGTTCAGAGCTTTAGATTCGACAGACAAACGCAACTGCTCATTCTGAATCGCTTTCTGTAAATATGAGCTCTGCAATTGTCCTACAGCTCGAGTTGAATACAGAAAACCGAGAGTTCCTCTCTAGATGACTCGACCAATACGAATAGTTTCGCGATTCTAGATCGGGCAGCAGACCGAGTTCAGAGCTCTAGATTCGACAGACAAACGCAACTGCTCATTCTGAATCGCTTTCTGCAAATATGAGCTCTGTAGTTGTCCTACAGCTCGAGTTAAGTACAGAAAACCGAGAGTTCCTCTCAAGATGACTCGAATAATACGAATAGGTTTGCGGACCTAGCTCGGATAACAGACCGAGTTAAGACCTCTGGATTCAACAGGCGAACGCGCCTAATCATTCTACA